CCTGGTTTTTTTCTTTTTGAGAAAAAAATCAAATTAACCAATAGTTTATCTATTTTATGGTTTTTTTCATAAAATAAGCTCCTACTTTATTAGTTTAATGGTTTTTCTTCTTTTCAGTTTCATTAATCTCTCCTTTGAATTTCAGGATTCCCAATTTGGTATCTTAAATGGTGTTTTTAAAATTTGTTCTTTTTCTAGTATTTTTTTTTAGTTTCATGGCTAATTGATTTATTTGCTCTTTCTCTGTTTTATTGAGATAAGCATTTAGAGATACATAATGTCTCCTTAGTACTGCTTTGGCTGCATCACACATTTTGGTGTGTTGTCTCATTGTTGTCATTATCCTTAATGAAATTATTGTTTCTCTGATTTGTTCTTTGAGCCACTCATTCTTTTTTTTTATTTAAAAAAAATTTTTTTTTTCCATATGCTTTTGAGTTGAAAATTTTTCTCCCTTTGTCTCCCCCCCCATCCTCCCCAAGATGGCGCACAATCTGACATAGGCTTTACATTTACATATCCATTAAACATATTTTCACATTAGTGAAGTTGTAAGTAAAAATTAAAACCAATAGGAGGAACCATCAGAAAGATGAAACAAAACTCAACAGAAGGTAAAAATAAGTGAGAGTGATTCGACTTCCATAGTTCTTTCTTTGGATGTGGACAGCATTTTCCTTCCCACAGCCTCTGGAGATGTCTTAGATCCTTGTAATGCTGAGAAGGGTTCAGTTTAACATTCTTAGTCATTGTATAACGTGGCTGCTATTGTGTACAAAGTCCTCTTGGTTCTGCTCACTTCACTCAGCATCAGACCATATAAGTCTTCCCAGGTTTTTGTGAAGTCAGCCTGTTCATCATTTCTTATAGCACAATAGTATTCCATTACATTCATATACCACAACTTGCTCAGCCATTCCCCAATTGATGGGCATCCTCTCAATTTCCAATTCTTTGCCACCACAAAAAGAGCTGCTATGAATATCTTTGTGCATGTGGGTCCTTTTCCCATTTGTTTGATCTCTTTGGGATATAGCCCTAGAAGTGCTATTGCTGGATCAAAGGGTATGCACATTTTTGTAGCCCTTTGGGCATAGTTCCAAATTGTTCTCTAAAATGGTTGGATCATTTCACAGCTCCACCAACAATGTATTAGCGTTCCAATTTTCCCACATCCTCTCCAACATTTCTCATTTTCCTGTTTTGTCATGTTGGCCATTCTGATAGGTGTGATGTGGTACCTCAGAGTTGCTTTGATTTGCATTTCTCTAATCAATAACGATTTGGAGCATTTTTTCACATGACTATAGATGGCTTTAATTTCTTCATCTGAGAACTGTCTGTTCATATCCTTTGACCATTTATCAATTGTGACCCACTCATTCTTTAGAACTATTCACTTTCCAATTAATTTTTCATCTCTTTCCATGGCCATTTACTGAGTGTAATTTTTATTGCCTTATGATCTGAAAAAGATGCATTTACTTTTTCGGCTTTTCTACATTTGGTTGTGTGATTGTATGGGTGCCATGTATTGCTGAGATAAAGGTGTATTCATTTCTATTCTCCTTCAGTTTTTTTCCAGAGGCCTATCATATCTAAATTTTCTAAAATTTTATTCATTTCCTTAGCTTCTTTTTAATTTATTTTTTGGTTAGATTTATTTAACTCTGAAAGGGGCAATTGAGATCCCCCACTAGTATGGTTTTACTATCTATTTCCTTCTGTAACATGTAATTTTTCCTTTAAGAATTTGGATGCCATACCATTTGGTGCATATGTTTAGTGTTGATATTACTTTATTGTAAATGGTATCTTTTAGCAAGATGTAGTTTCCCTGTTCCATTAGTTTCTTAACTAAGAGTTTCTTAAATCAATGAGAACAGATATTTGGACCCATTTTTCTCATATCAGACTTTTATTCAAAACTACAGGTTTGATTATATTTCTTGTAAACCTTTCCAAAGCAGCATGCAGATCCTTCCCACATCAATCTCCCTTCTCCACATGCATTTAACCTTTCCTCCCCCATTTTGTCCCATCTTGCAACTCCTCTCCTATAAGTCTTACTTAACAATCTACTCTTTGGAGTCTGAACAATTAACTAACCCCATGCAGTGATAGTTTTATAGATACTTTATTTTTAGGCTAAAACAACTACCAAACTAGAGTTCTCACCCAACTGAGATGTACAGTTTGAGGGGCTGGCACCTTAGGGTGCCAGGCGTAACCCTGAGGGACTGGGCTTTTAGTACTATTGCTTTTTGAACCCTTACCAGCGTGATCCCTGTTGACAACCAGCCATCCAGACTTACTTAGCCCTTATGAATAGTATTTACTGAGAAGGCATAGCAAGAATTTTTGGTACAAAATATTTCTCTAAAAACTAGAACATACCGTCCCACAAATACAAATAATATCCATTGGAAAAGTGGACTTAAACTTAGAGTGCTATGGCAGAAAACACAGAACGTGTCTGGCAAAGGAGTACTTCCCAATTTCTGGCTCTGTAAGTCCTCTTCTCCGTTTGTATATCCTTTTAATGTTCCCCTTACATATGTCTCTCAGCTGCGTGTTCTGCTCAGTTGTGCTCCTAGGAACTGTGCTTTTCTAGGCTCCATAACTACATTCTTTCTTTTACAAGAGGTCACAATCCCTGACACACTGATACTGGTTTCTTTGCCTTCCCTTAGATGTGACACTCTCCCTCTTCCAAATATAGTCATTTTCATTGGCTTTCTCCCATAGCTGGAATGCTCTTCCTCTTCATCTTTCCCTCCTGGGCTTCAAGTCTCAGCTAAAGTCCTGTTTTCTGTCATAACTTATTTTCCTGTCCTTAATTTTAGTGCCTTTCCTCTGAGACTATTTCCAATTTATCCTGTATATGTCTTATTTATACACAGTTGTTTGCATATTGTCTCCCCCATTAGACTGTGAGTTCCTTGAGAGGAAGGACTGATTTTTGCCTTCCTTTGTACTTCTACCACTTACCACTGTGCCTAGCACAAAAGAAGTGCTTAATAAATATTTGTTGACTTGGCTCCATTCAGGTGATTATTGCCCTGCATCCGATTGTCCTCCTAGTGTCTGTTCCTGGTGCCTTTGGCTGCTACCTCCTTGGGAAACAATGCTACCTGTTCTGGTGGGTAGATATCCTGCTACCATTCAGTGCTGATTTGACCTCTGGATATACAGAACTCACAAGACTGTTTTGACATCTATCTTGTAATACTTATTAACCTAATATTGGGAAATAAAAAACACAAAGAGCCAGAGGTGGCCATGAACTCTGAGCTACCACGTCTGGTAAGAGATGGGGATTCTACCTGGCTCTTAGGAGGTACTTCAATGTTACTCTGCCTCAGGAAGGGGTAGGTCACTACCTCTCTAGAATATGTATTGGGTTCTGGCTCAGCAAGCTCGCCTTTTCTGGCTCCACAATAATTTAGAGAATTTTTCATTACCACTTAGTATAAACCTCAGAGTCATGCATAGCCAGAAAGAGGCACACTCTCTCTCTTCTTCATTCCTGCCCCTAAATTTCCACATCTTCTCTTGGACTGGAACCAGACAGGACTATTTACACATGATCCAGGGGGCCAGTCCACCCATGCTCCAGTAAGAAAAGAATAGATTCCTGGCCCTCTGGAGAGAGAGTCCAGAAATTAAATGATCAAGAGCCAGGCAGGGAATCCAGAAAGCTAGGCAAGAATATCTCTAGATGCTGGAGATGGCCTGAAAATCTTAACAACATAGCCTGAAACGAGAGAGTAGTAACAATACTCAATTCCTTCATGTCAGCACTATGGTTTAAGACTATACTAGGAACTGTCTTAAAAGCCTTGAAGTAACAAACTTTCCCCCTATGACCTCCAGCCCCTCTCCCAGCCCAGAATTTCCCAATTCTGCTAATACCAGATAAGGTGTTTAGCCTAACTACAGTTAGTTGATAAGGACTTCAGGGTGTGAAAGGGAGCATTTACATTTTAATTGGAGACCCAAGTGGTTTTTCCCCATTCCTCTTCAAATTTCTCAAGGCATATAGAGCCTGAACCGTTCTCTTCAATTTACCACAATCTCTCTTGAATAGTTATTTGTATACTTTCCCCAGCCATCAGTTTGTAAACTTTAAAGAAAGATTCTTACTCTCAATCCCTAGGACCTAGCACAGTGCTTTTATAGATTCATAGATTTTTGAACTAAGATGTTATTTTTAGAGGTCATTTTGACAGACCTTTTCATTTTACAGCCAAGGAAACTGAGGCCCAGAAAAGTTAAATCACTTGTTCAAGGTCATGGCAGGATCCACTTTCCACTGAGCTACCTTTAAAAATTGAAAAATGAAACGACTAACTGGCAACTTCTTGAGAGAGAGGTAATGAATTCAAGTTGCAGTAAGAGACATACACATATTTTGGACTCAGCCAGTGTGGGAATTTGTTTTGTTTGGCTATGTACATTGGTTTTGCAATTTTTGTTTTGTTTTGTTGGTTTGTTTTTCTCAAATTAAGGCGGTAGGAAAATGAGGGGCATAATGTAGCTAAAAAACAGAAATGACTGGAGATAAGTTGATAAATCCCACCAAAGTCACTAAGTCTACTCCATAGCTCCAGAACTCATGGTAAAACCAGGATTATACCACTGTGGGGAGAGTGGTGGATAGGTCAGAAAAGAAGACACTAGAGGCAGTGAAACTTTGGTTGTCAATCCTGATCATTACATATACTGTCTTTGTTTTCCCCTAGTAGTTCAATTTCCTTTCATTTCATCTCAATTAAATGAGCATTTATTTAAGTGCCTGCTAGGTTCCAGATATAGTTGTTAGGTACTAAGAATACAAAGGCCAAATATGATAGGACTTGCCCTCAAGGAATTTATATTCTATTAGAGGAAAATCATATGTACACATATAAGTAAATACTACATATATAAATAAAATTGTATATATGTACACACACTATATATATGTGTATATATATATGAAATTCAAAATACATACAAAGTAATTGGGTATGTAGATTAGGGTAGGAACAGGTTGAATATAAAGAACAATGTGTTAACACTGGGTTTTTATAGGTGTAACGATAGATGTAATAGGACAGAGGCTTCGGATGGCACAATGGAGATTTAAGGAAGAGTAGGATAAGGGTGGGTGGCTCCATGGGCATGGTTCACAGGCTTGATATCTTTCACTGGGTTTCAGCAACTTCCATAAGAGCACAGTCTCCCACACTTACTTGCAAATTTCTATATCCGACTTTCAAATAGATAGTGAAGGGTCTCAGAGTCATCCATTGAGCCTTTTTATGGCAGTCCTGCAAGAGGAAAAGCTCTGCTGAGTGATGAGATTTCCAACCTCCTCTTTCCCCTTCCCCTGCCCTCTAGTCCTACTTTAGAGCAGCTCTTATCAAATTCTGCTGGAAAAATCAGCACACCCGACCATTAATAATTGTGATGAAATGAAGCTTCTGACCCTCTGTTACCTTGATAGGAAAAACTTATTTAATAAGTTCTGGGTGGAGGTGAGGGTCACCTGCCCAGCTAACCTAAGCTTGTATCTCTCCAGGAAGGAAGAAGCCTATCTGAAGTTAAGAAGATAGGAATGCAGAACATGCTGAGAATTTCTCAACCTTATGTGATAGTACAATTCAAAGCCTTTCTAAAGGTCAGTATGAGGCAGGAGGTTAGGGAAGTGTTTGGGCAAAATTTCCCACCATCCAGACCCTTAAAAAATGCAGTTAAAATGAAGGCACAGAATCTATACATCTAGTCCTAAACTGTCTCTTGAACTCCAGACCTGCATCACCAATTGCATGCTGGAATCTCCTCTTGGATGTCTCATTAGTACCTCAAAGTCAACATTTCCAAAATGGAATTCGTTATGTTACCCCCTAAACCTACTTCTCAATTTCTGCTGATACCAACCTCCCTGTCACCCAGATTCAGAGGCAGACAAATGGTGCAATGAGTAAGAGCATGCTGGATTTGGGAGTCTAGAAGACCAGAGCTCACACTCCTGCCTCAGACACTTCCTAGTTGTGTGACCTTGGGCAAGTCATTTAACCTCTCTCCGCCTCAGTTTCCTCATCTGCAAAAGTGGGGATAGTTAAGTGTCTACCTCACAGGGTAGTGTGAGGCAGAAATGAAGTAACATGTATATAACGATTGGTAAGCCTTAAAGTACTATATAAGTGCTAGTTATCATTATTATTATTATGTTTTAAATTCTTCCCTCTTCTACAATTGCCATTCCTCCAAGTAAAAGAGCTATCAACTGAACTAAGACTTTTGGGATAGCCTATGTAATCAGTTGTCGCATTTTGTTGCTTCAACCTCAATAACATTTTAAAGTTAATTTTTTTCAATTATTAAGCATTATTTTTTAGTTTTTCTACCTCCTCACTTCCATTAAAAGAAATTGAACTCTTTTAAAAAATAATCATAGTCAAGTAAAACAAATTCCCATATTAAGGGAAGTAAGCATTTATATAGCACCTACTATTGCCATGTACTCTGTTAAATGCTTTAAAAATATCATCTCATTTGATCTTCACAACACTCCTGAGAGGTAGATGCTTTTAACCACACTTTACAATTGAGGAAACAGATTAAGTGACTTGCCCAGGGTCACACAGTAAGTAATTATCTGAGGGCAGATTTGAATTCTGGGCTTGCTGACTCCAGGCCCACTGCTCTACCTGCTAGGCTAGCACACTGTCTTCCTTGGCCTTAACTATGTCCAAAAAAAAAAATGTCTCATTCTCCATATTAGTCCATTACCTCTACCAGAAGAGTGGGTAGCATTCTTTAATCTCCTTCTGGAATCATGGTTGATCATTGTGCTCAACAGTACCATTCCATCCATCTCCTTCTTTCTACTAATATCACCAAGATCTTAGTGTGGGCCCTCATTAACCCCTGTCTGGACAGTTGTCATTATTTTCTAATTGTTCTCCCTCCTTCTAGTCTCTTTCCTCTTAGATCTGTCTTCTACCTAGCTGCCAAAATAATATTTCTAAGGCCTGAGATTTTATATATTTTGTATTTATTTTAAATGAAATTCCTCTTATTGTTTCTTCCTGGTTTTTGTTAGTACTGAACAGAATTAATAATAATTTGTGTGGATTTATGCTGTATCCTGTAGTCTTGCTATAGCTATTATTCATCTCAATTAGTTTCTTTGATGATTTTTTGGGGGGGTTTTCCAAGAATACTATCATATTATCTGTGAATAAAAATATTTTTGCCTCCTCTAGGCTGCCATTTATACACTTGATTTTGTTCTCTGGTTGTATGGCTCTATCTAGTGTACCTGGAACTATGTTAAATAATAGTGGGGAGGGAGAAATCTTAAGATCCAGATCTGACCATCTCAGGCCCTTGCTTAAAAATCTCTAAGACTTCCTGGATAAATATAGATTTCTCGGCATTTAAAGCCCTCAATATGCTGTCTCCCACCCTCCTTTCTAGCCTTATTTTATACTCCTCTCTTTCAAATATGGTGTTCCAAAAACTCTGACCTACTAGCTGTTACTGAACTCCACAAGCCATCCTCTGCCTTTTTTTAGTGGCCTAGTTCGTTCTGTGGGTATGAAATACATTCCTTCCTTATTTGACTCTCAGAAGAATCTCCTCTGGTTAGTCTGTCCTGACGCTGTTAGTACTCTCTTCCCTCTTCAAATTATCTTGTATTTACTTATCTGTGTTAATGTTGTTTCCAATTCCTTGGTTAAAATGTAAAACTCATGGAGAGGAGAGACTCCCTGTTTTTTGTTTTTGCATTCCCAGCACATAGTACAATACTGGCCTTATACTCAGAGAGCATTTAATACTTGCTGAATTGACCTGAACCAGTGCTTAGCTACCTTAGAACCCCAATATTCTGTGAGATGATGGTTATCATCCTCATGATATTATATGAATTCAAATAGGTTGCGTTCAGATGTATCAACATATTATATGAATTAAAATCTCTTCTTTTCCTCCAAATTTTCTTTCAATAATAATAATTATTATTACTATAACTAACATTAAAATTTACCAAGGGCTTTATACGCATATCTCATTTGATCCTCATAAAAACACTGTGAGGCAGGTGCTATTAATGCTAGTGTATAAGCACATAGTAGGTGCTTAATAATTATTTATTGGCTGATACTGACTGTGTCCAAAAGAGGTTAAATGACTTTCCCAGAGTAACACAGCTAGTGAATGTCTGAGGCAGGATTTACACTTAGTTCTACATTATTGTACTTCCAGCACCCTACCCAGTAATGTTTACTAAATATTCACAAATTCTTATATATACATTTTTTCCTGTTTTCCAGGATTGGTCAATCCATCAGAATGGTCAAATTTGATGAGCAGGAACTATGTCTCATCAAAATTTGGTATCTGCAAACCTGTTTCCGTCACCAGGGTTGATTGTTACAAAGACTCACAAGCAATGCCTATATTTATTTTTTTTTTCAGCTTATAAAAGTCAGCTATTGCTGTAGCCCAAGGTACCAAGTAACTCTGAGAACCTAACTTTCATAATTGTATTGGTAGACTCACTTTTCTTCAACCTTTGGACCCTGAAGGAAAATCTTGACTTTGATGACTTTGATGTGAGGCTTTAATTAACCAACTTCTTTAGACTCTTGCTATCTAGAAGGAAAAGTGCATTTCAAATGTTCCTTTTCCCTTTGAATTTTATGCTTCGAAAGATTTCACCTTGGAATGTAATTCCCAGTATCGAATTCATGTTGATTATTAACCCAAGGAATGCAACACCAACTACTGTTGCAGTCATCTGTCACTAAGAAAAGATTATGTTTATTTTTATCCCATCTCCAACTTTCTTACAACCTTTTGGTAGGTGTGTATTTGTATGTGTATATGTTTATGCGTCCCATTGATAATTAAGTTTCTCATAGAAATTATTCATCAGTTTGTGGCTGTGCTTGTTTTGAGGTCAGGGACTAGGTCTCATTTCATCTTTGTATCTCCAGCTCCTAGCAAAAGGCATTTGACTGAACAGGTTTACTGAATACTTGTTGAATGGAATGATATAGTTAAAAGAGTTCTGAATTTGGAATCAGAGAATGTTGTTTGAAACACTGATTCTGAGAAGGAAGGCCAGAAAGATCATAACAAGCAGGATGGCTTTAAAAGTTACATGTGGAATTTATTTTATGTATTTTTTTAAAAAGCAAACTACTCAAAACAGAGATTTGTGGCTTTAGATACAATCATACTTTTTCTGTTCTGTGTATATGAAAATATTCATTTTATTTGGTGTTGGTTAAATTGGTTAAGTTCAGAATAAAAAATTCTAATGAAAGATAATTCAAATGCCAGTTTTGCTGCTGTACCCATGGACAGGTTACTGACCCTTTCAGTCTTAGTTTCCTCATCTATAAATTTAAAATGTCAGACTAGATGATCTGAGAGCATCTTACCAGGCCAGAATAAATGATTCAATGACCTTATAGATCTATGAATGTGCTTCAACCACTCTGTATCTAGGAAAGCACATCTCCTTCCCTTCTCTGCACTCTATTGCCTGGATTCTTAGGCACCCCCTAAAGCATTAGTTATTAGTTTTCCCAGTCTGGCAAATGCTTCCTAAAAGAGAGAAACTCCTCACTTCCTCACCTAAGGGGACTCTGTTGCTCATGCTTACAACTTGAGTGCCTAAAGAAATAACAGGGAAGAGAGTCAGTCTAGATGGTAAAGGATAGGAGGGATACATGCACATTGCTTCTTCATCTTAGACATGTTGCTTTTAGAATCCTTCTGTAGGAGCTGAGGCTCAGACCCTGAACAATTACTGCAGGATACAGTGCCCCATTGTAGAGCTGGAGAGATACTCTCCTCTATTTTCTCTGGTTCATTTTTAAACTGATAGCATACAGACAAACATATCACCATAAATGTTTATTGCAGTCTGTAATTCCTCTCCCTTTTTGATGCGAGGGAGTTGCTAGTTCATAACAATGCTGACCACAACCCTTGTGTTGCAAGTACCATTGCATGGACCATGCACAGATAGTCAAGTCCACTGCCTGGAAATCTTAGGGCTGTTTTCTGGTCATGTGGTGATTCATTGCTGAAAGCATTTGGCATTTTAATGTGACATGAGAGACCCCCATAGATATTTTGGGCATCTCTTTGCCTAGTGACAAAAGTGGGAGTGGGAGGTATCCTATATCTGATAAAAGAAAAGACATTATGCATACCCTTTGTTCTAGTGATACCATTACTGGGCCTATACTTCAAAGAGATCAAAGAAAGAGGATGAGGACTTATATTGAGGAAATTTTTTATGTAGCAAAGAACTGGAAACCAAGGGACACCTATTGATTAGAGAATGGCTGAACCAGTTATGGTACTATGATGTAATAAAATATTATTGTGCTGTAAGAAATGATGAAAATGACAACTTCAGAGAAGTTGGAAGACATATAGATTAATGCAGGATGAAATGAGCAGATGCAGGAGAATTTACATAATGACAATTCTATAAAAATGAACTTTATAAGTCTTAAGAACCATGATGAATGCAATGACCAATCATGATTCCAAAGTAACAATGATGAATGCTATTGACCTCCCAACAGAGGGGGAATGGATTCAAGATGTAGAATGAGACATACATTTCTGCACATGGTCAATGTGGGAATTTTTTTGCTTGATAATTCATATTTGTCTTTCCCCCCACCTAGGGTTAGGGGAAAGGAGGTGAGAGAGAGAAAACAAATACTTCTTAATTTAAAAAAATAAAATGTTGCCTGCATTTAATGTCATAATATCAAAGAATAATGCTTAATAAAGATGTTCAGTTTCATCATAGTGACATTCTGCAAAGTACAAATGGAAGAGAATTGACTTCAACCTGAAAAATAGTTTCTATTGGCATATTATAGGGTTCTGTTCAGTTTAATATTTTATTCAATGGTTTATATAAAGATATGAGCATGATAAGCAAATTCATAGATGACATAAAGCTGAGAGTGATCATAAACAAATTGAATGATAGTATTTGAAAATATTTTGTAGGCTAATAATTATGGCCCTAAACTAGAAATATTTAATTTGTCAGGGATAAATGTAAAGTCCTGTACCTAGGATTAAAAACAAATCAATTACCTACATGCAGGTTGAGGGTGGTCTATTTTGAAAGCAGTTCACATGAAAAGGACCTGGGAGTTTCAAATATAAAATCTTGATGTTAGGGGAACTTCCGAGAGCATATACTCTACTTTCCCACCCAGTGATTGAACCCTTTCTATGACTTCCTTGACAGAGAGTCATCTGTCTTCTACTCAAACACCTTCAATGAACAGGAAACTCCTAGTTGGCCACAGGCTTCATATGAAATGTGTTATACAATAGTATTATACAGCTTTAAAAAAAAAGCTAGTCTAGTCTTAGGTTGCATTAACAGAAGTATTCTATTCAGATCAAGGAAGTTAATATTCTCACCACAGTCTGCACCTGTCAGAACACATCTGGTGTATTGTTTCTATATCTGGACACTTTAAGAGAGACATTGGCAAACTTTATAAAAGTGACCATGATGATAAGGAAATAATGTCTGGAAATAATGTCGTATGAGGAAGAGTCAAAAAAAAAAAGTAAGAAATCTTTAGCCTGGAGGAGAAAGGGCTTAGTAAGGATGACATAATGTTTTCAGATACTTAAAGGAATGTCTACAGGAGTAAGAAGAATATCAAGACTCATTTAATTCAATTTCTTCAGCGATAAGTCCATTCATTAATCATTGATCAGGTATCACATTCAGAGTACTAATAATCTAAATAAAGTTTACAGATGGATCTAAAGTCTATATGATTCTTAGTGCCCTCTGCCCCCTTTTTCCTCTGCTACAATCACTACAGAAGTAGAAGAGAGCCCCATAAGACTGTGGTCAATATTTTCTTTTTCTTTGTATCATGGATTGCCAAGAACCCAAAATTCATTGCTAAGTATCTGGTCTACTGGTAATGTGTATCTTCTTACTTAGCTAGGCTAGTTCTTGTAAAATGGAGTCAGTCTGTTACTTGGCTCCACTTGAAGATTTTCCAGCATGGTAGAAACTGCCAGGGCCTGTAATTTGTTGATGTGGCCTTAAGAACTTGGCATCACCTCCATGCTAGCACAAGGCATTAGAGTTGGACTTTGTGGAATCCTATTTTCTTAACATTCTTGCTATAAATGAAAATAGAAGAAATAAGGAAGCTTCCACTAAATGAAAGATTGCTCACAGATACTCATTGAAGAGTCAGAAGTTGGTAGAGTACATTTATAAAATGCCTAAAGTCAACGAGAAACATTATTTCAAGGGAGATCTGGTCATCATGTATTGCAATTCTAATGATAAGCATTTACAAAAAGACCGCCATGAAAATAATTGCAGCTTATGCACCAACATCAAGCATAGGTGGCTAGTAAAGAAGTAGAGACATTCCATAAAGAGTTTAAGATCCTCCAAATAAAAATCAGCATACATTCTGATACCTAGTAACTAGAGTGCAATGGTAGGAAAAGGTGAGGATGGGAAAGCATGATTCAGGGAAAAAAATGAAAAAGACTTGTAGACTACAAAGAAATCCAATGCATGGTTTTTTAGAGAAAAAAAATTGGCAGGCACTAGATATGATGAACACCAAATAATATAAAAAAGTATAAAATGGATTATATTTTAATCATGAGGAAGGGAGTTGTCATTGATGTGGAAGTTATCTCTGAATGTTGTCAGACCTATTAAAGATCAGAATTAGTTTAAAAAAGCAAGAAAAAAATAAGGAGAAAAAGTAATGGTCTACAACGGAAACGACTAAATTCTAAACTATTTAAACAAGTAATTGACAATCAAAAGTAGGAAATGGATAACAGAAATGAAATTGACACCAATTACAAACATTACATAAAGAAGCTTTGAAAAGTAAATTAATGGCCACAATAAGGAAAACAAAGGAGCCCAGAAAACACCTTAGTCAGCAAATATTTGACTTACTTGCCACATGGAAAGAGAGGACTGCCAAAGATAATACCAAGTTACAATATAAACTGTTGTATAAAACCTTACAAGGAAAAATGATGAACGATTATGAGCAATATCATCTCATAAAACAGAAAGAAGCAATGGAGAATAAATATAGTTTAAAGAAATCTTGGCAAGATATCAGACTAAGCAAAATCAGCTTAAACAGAAATGGAAGGAAGACAACAACAAGAAAATGGCAAAGATTAAATTTTTTTTTCAATCAGTAAAACTCTACCTATTCCCTCTCTCCCACCTCCCTACCCTTTTGAGAAAAACCAAACCAAACCAAACCAAACCCCTGTTACAGACATCTACTGTCAAGCAAAACAAGTTCTCCCATTGGCCTTGTCCAAAAAAGGAAAACTATGTCTCATTCTACACTAAAGAGTCCATTATCTCTCATTTAGGAGTTGGGTAGCCTGTTTCATCCTGAATCCTCTTGAATTGTGGCAGGTTATTGTCTCTAGGTCTTTCAAATTTTGTCTTTGCAGTGTTGCAGTTATAGCATTGTATAAATGGTTTACTTTGTTATGCATCAGTTCATTAAAATCTTCTCAGGTGTCTCTGATATCATCCTCCGTCATAATTTCTTACAGCATAGTGATATTTTATCATATTTACATATTATAACTTCTTCATTCATTCCCTGATTAGTGGGAACCCCTCTGTTTCTAATTCTTTTTTCTCTACAAGAGCTGCTATATGTTTTATTTTGTTTTGTTTTTTACATTTCTAGAGTTTGTTTTTATTATGACTAACCCTTCCCTCACTTTACCCTTTCTCTTTTGTCACCTCTTCCTGCTGTTTCTGTTTACTGATATGTATTTCTATACCTATGTATGCATTCATCCCTCCTTTGACCAGTACAGATGAGAATGAGGTTAGTGTCCCCTACTCCCTCATCTCTTCCTCCTTGTTTATAGACTTCTCTTTGCTCATCTTGAGCATATAAGATATTTCCCAATCTTCCTTCCCCTTTCATCCCTCTTCCACTGTTCTCCTAAGATTAAGACATTTCAGAATTACTCCCTGGTCTTCTGTCTGATTAGATTCTGTCTATGACCCCTGCTGATGGTAAAATATAATCTCCCCATATTAGGATATAAACATTTTATACTTGTTTAGTTCCTTATGATTCTTTGTTCATATTTACCTTTTTATGTTTCTCTTGACTGCTGAATTTACATTTCAACATTTCTATGGTATTTTCATCAGCAATGCTTGGCAGTCCTCGTACATAGACTTTCACTGCAGTTGAATCTTCTGCATGCTCTTTGCTGGTCAGACCTCATCCCCAGTGTCCATTGACTTCTCTGTCTATCTCTCTGTGCTGAGTTGGACTGGAAAAATGACTGTGATTTTTTTCTTCAATTTCCCATCCGGCTTTGGGTACATTTTCTAGATTTATTTGGAGGTGTTGTAGGGAGGAGAACTTGCTGCACTGCTTCCTGCTTCTCCACCATTTTGGCCAGTCACTTTGAGAAGGTGGAATATAAGTTGAGTTTTCAGGGAAGCCAGGTGGTACAGGTGAGGAGGGAGAGCATTCCAACACAGGAGACAGCCATAGAAAAAGCATGGAATCAGGAGATGGAGTGTCCTGTATGAGGAACAGCAAGAAAGAGTAAAGAACTTTAAGGTTTGTAAAGTGCTTTACTTACATTATCATATTTGATTAGCGTAACAAACAAGTTCTCATTTTACAAACAAGGAAACTGAGGCATATATATGTTTATGTATATATATATATGTGTGTATGTATATGTGTGTGTATATATATATATATATATATATATATATATATATATATATATATATGACATTCATCATCCTATAATCAAGAAATATTGGAGAAAAGATTTGAACCCAGATCTTCTTGACTCCAAGTTCAGCACTCTTCATTGTGTGATGCTGCTTTCAGAGGGTAGAGGGCAGACCAAAGAGTAGATGTTACAATTCAATATAAAAAAAACTTTCTAACAATTTGAAAAGTCCAGCCATGGAATGGTCTCTAAAGTAGTAAATGCCTAGTCAAAGGAAGTATTTAAGCTGGGTCTGGATGACAAACTGGTGGGACTGGAAGAGGGGATTGTTGCTTTGGTGGGATGCTGAAGTAGATGACTTTCTAAGATTGCTTCTAAATCTGAGTCTGTGCTTCTACTGTATGGATCTTTTACTGGAATATCCACCTAATGAACATTTGTGATAGAAGGCTATAGTCAGAAAAGTAGGTAGTAATTCTTCCTAATGAGAATCAAGATATTTTAACTGTGTCATTTCTCCACCAACAAATTATGTCCTTTCTTTCAGGGTGGGGAGGAAAGAAAGAAACAAAAGTGGGAAGAAAGCACACCAAAGGAAGGGAAGCTCAGAAAAAAAAAACTCAACCAAACCCAAAGCTATTAAACAGGCAGTGTGCCTGGTGAGAAAGGAGGGCAAATGACAGTGATGACTGGAAAAAAAATTTAAAAGACAATAATTCAAAAATGAAATGACAGCAAAGAAAACTCCATGTCAGAGGGGAAAAAATTAAAATAGATGAAGAGGAAAAACCAAAACAACAAAAAACTATTATCTGAGATACTTAACAAAAGTTAACTACCTTAACTTCAACACAGTCTCCTCTTCTCTGGTTCATTTGGATTGCCCTGATGCTCTCAAAAGCAGCTTTGCAGTATGACTAATATTGTAGTCAGCAGAAGGTAGTGCTACTGGAGTAACTTCATATAGGCTACATTATCAGTGTAAAGTTTACACCCCAGAAATTAGCAAGCCTACAAATCAGGACTTGATTTATAGGTCTGTTGTTCATTTAGACTTTAAAAAGTGATAGAGAAAATGTCAGGAATGCAAGTTAAACTAAAATATGTATTGAATTTTTGGAGACCTGGTTGTTAAACATTTAACAATATATCATGGGAGAAGGTAATTGTTATCTTGAAAAGACAAGTGAAGCAGGCATTTCCAACCAATAGAAATAGCATATGTGAACTATAACTTGACCAACTTTAACGCCTCCCAATTATCTTTTCTCCTCTGACGTAGGTTATAGTCCTGCAGAATGCCCAGTACCTTTATTCAACCTTCCCTTTTATCCCTTCATCCAACTCCAATATCCCCCAATGACTAATCATAGACATTCTTCACAGTGAGCAGCATGATATAGTTGAAAAAGGGCTGAATTTAGAGTAAGAGGCCTTAGTTTCAAATCTTGGTTCTGCCACATGTTATCTATGTGCCGCTGCGTGCCTCAGTTTCCTCATTTGCAAAATAAGAGGCTTGGAGTAGATGATCTCTAAGGATCTTTCTGGTTCTCTATTTATGATTCCATATACTATTCATACTTGTTGCTCAACTATATCAGAACTTGCCGGAATGAACAAATTTCAGCCTGTGTTTACACGTGGGGGCCACCTACTTAATTGAGGAGACTTGGCCTTCAAGTGTCATCTAATGCTAATGCTTCTTATTTTTTTAACCATTCCCCACCAACCTCAACCTTTCCAATGAACTGTTTTCCCCTGTATGGTAAAGAAAATTTGGTATACTGTTACCAGCTGATGTATTACCAAGTTGTTCCCCATTATTTCAATATGGAGGTGCTTTAATCTTTTGGCATCATCATTTAATCAGTTGACATATGTTGAGAACTTACTGCCTCTAGAAGGATGAAGAAAGAATGTATGTTTTGGCCTTCAAAGTAGATTGGCTATGCAACTATGAATTAATTCAGAGCTAAATAAGAAGCTTTTTTACCCCAGAGGTAAGTTATAGTAAATTGTTTTGATAAAACCTATATGAACTGTTATCCTGAAAAACCCTAAGCAAGAAAAGTCTTGTAAAGGGAACTAGACTGTTTAGAAATCACAGCAATTTAACAAGCCTTTGGAAGTGAAGGTTGGATGAAGAAATGGAACCTTCACCTGTAATCAATTCATCTGATTTCCTCCATAAAATCTCAATTGCTTGTTATGGAAATCAGGCCATTTATAAGAACCTTTATTGAGACCAGGCTTTCCAAACCTAACCTTTATCTTAGTAGCTGAGTTACCGACAATCTACTCTTAACCCTAACTTCTCAGAAGCAGCCTGTCCTATCCATCACTTCTTGTCTATCCAGTTCAAGTTCACAGTGATAAATCTAGCCTATAAGGGTCGTCACAAAGGTGGGTGTGGTGTTCTGATAGCATTCACGATTAAGTGCTTTCCTGTGTCAAATATAGCTGTAATATACTACAAACAGGCAGTCGATTTTTATACAAACTGATCTGGCTGCTATCAGCTTCTCTGACATTTTATACTAATACTTAAAATAAATCTAGAAACAGGAAAGAAAGTACAGAATTATTGTTTTAAGCTGCCTGTGAGAGCTTATCTTCAAAGTGGCAGAGGTTCTATTGTATTTAGAAAAACTGCTCACTCCACTGGCATAAAGGTTAATAACTTGGAGGCCACTTCGGTTAAACTCATATTCCCTTGCAATATGCACTGCCATTCTGCAGATGAATAATTTTGGTAGATGTCCCATAGCCCTAACTTTTCATTTGACAATACTCATCATGTGTTGAAGACTATATTCCAGACCTACTCTGTTTAAATTTGCCTAAAAGATATTTTCAATTTCTTCTTGATCTTCAGGCATTCATTAAAGCACATGAGAAAGAAAAGAAGATTTTTCCTCCTCCAAAACAAAAGTGGAAATTTCAGAAATATCTCTGGTGACTGTCCATACTTTGGGAGTTGCCTAATCCCTTTTCTTCATCTTTCCTTATTAAAAAATAAAAAAACAGGGGGCAGCTAGGTGGTGCAGTGGATAGAACTCTGGCCTTGAAGTCAGGAGAACCTGAGTTCAAATCCAGCCCATATACTTGACATTTAGTAGCTGTCTGACCTTGGGCAAGTCACTTAACCCTGATTGCCTGATTCTGTCACTTACTAGTACCTCCCAGTCAAGGATATGCTAGTAAAAATTTAACAACTGGCTTTTCAGGAAAAAAAACAATCTAGAACACACATTTAAGTTTACTCTTCATTATTAACATTTTTTTCTATCAAGTTTAGACAATCAAAACAATAAACCAAGCCATTATTTTAACAATTTCAGCACACTCCTGCCCCAGCTCTTGGCCCTCTCGTGCAACAAAGAACAATAATGATAGTAGCTAACATTTGTATAGTTTTAAAGTTTGCTAAGCACTTTACACCCATGACCTCATTTGATCCTCAAAACAACCCTACCCATGAAGGTAGGTTATTATTCTTATGTTTTGTTATTGAATCATTCCAGCTGAATCTGACTCTTTAAGACTCCATTTTGGGGTTTTCTTAGCAAAGATACTAGAGTGGTTTGCCATTTCCTTTTCCAGCTCATTTTACAGATGAGGAAATTGAGGCAGAGTTAAGTGACTTGCCCAGGGTCAAATAGCTAGCAAGGTCCTAGATCAGAAATGAACCATGAAGATGTCTTCCTGGTTTTAACCCCAGTGCTCTATCCACTGAGCCACCTAGTTACTCTATTCTTATGTTACAGATGAGAAAACTGAGACTTAGAAGAATTAAATATTTTTCCTGCCTATAGTCATACAACTAATATTAGAGATAAGGTTTGGATCTAAGTCTTCCCCATTAAAATCCAATACTCTTTCTACTATACCAACAGTGTTAAGCACAATAAATTGCCACATTGACCATGTGAGACACCATATGTCTCATCCTACTCCTGTAATGCACCAATTCTCTTTCAAGTTTTCTTCTTTTTCTTTCAGCTTCTCTATGCTATGATTTACATATGGTGTTTTAGAATGTGAAAGGTTCATAATGCTAAACAAATGAAGGAAGCATATGCTTTCAGAATGTTCCATTTGAACCAGAATTCCAGGAGGGAAGTGCCTTAACATTTAGTGTCAGATCATATTATAGCTAGAAGGAACTACAAGGGTCTTCTAATCCAATCTTACTGTACAACTGAGGAAAAAGTCCCCCTAAAGTGGAATGATATGATCAAGGTTACCCCATTAGTGGCATAGCCAGGACTAGAATAAAGATCCTTCAGTGTTTTCGTTATCCCAAACTGTCTCTGTAGTTGTGAAGAGCACTATTAGGGTTATTCTTCACGGGGGATAGTGGTGGGGGCATATGTACTTTTCACGAGGTGGCTTCTGGTCTAGAATCACACAGACTGGGTACAGTCATGGGGAAGCCTGTCCCCTAGAAGAGGTGAGTCAGGCTTTTTCTTGTCCTTTATGCCTAATTGAGCTCCACTCCAGCTTGCACTGGGGAAAATGTCTACAACAAAATTTAGGGATGGTTCATGCCTAGGGTCACTCTTAAAAGGGATCTCCTTAACTATCAAAGGCTACAAATCAGGGCTTGATTTAGTTTTGTTGATTGTCTAGACTTAAAGGGATGTAGAAAATGTTAACAGCCAATTAAACTAAAAAAAATTTTTAAAAAGGATTTCTTTTCTAGAAAAAGTATTCACTTTGAACAAAGTAGTAAACATCAGATATGGGAAAACTATTTATTCCCTCTATTACAAAAGAGATGATTAAGACACAAAATAATAATAGCTAACATTTATAAAACACTTTAGTTTTGCAAAACACTTTACAAATATTATCTCATTTTATTCTCAGAGACAGGTATTATTATTGTCCCCATTTTACAGATGAGGTTAAGTGACTTGCTAGGGTCCTCAGCATCTGAGGAAGGATTTGAACTCAGTTCTTCTTGAGTCTAGGTCTAGAGCTCTATCTACAGTGCCACTTAGCTGTCTCGTAAAGAAAAGACTCATAAGTGCTCCTTGACAAATAACTAATACGTGAAACAATAACTCACCACCTCTATTATGGTGTCCTATAGGGAAAAACTCCTGGGTAGCTAGATGACTCAGTGGATAGAGCGCCAGCCTTGGAGTCAGGAGGACTTGAGTTCAGATGTGACCTCAGACACTTGACACTTACTAGCTGTGTGACCCTGGGCAAATCACTTAAGCCCAATTGCCTCACCAAAAAAAAAAAAGACATGTGGTCCTTGTTGAAAATATACTTTAGATTCATCTCAGATTTCTTCTGGCTTGACAGATATAGTTTTAGCCTTATCCTATTGGTTATAGAACCACCTTGACAGTGATGATCTTAGCCTCTAAGAAAATATTGCAGAAAGCACACTTGGTTGGGCAATTGATATCCCTCGGTCTCTCAAAGTAGTGGTCAAAGCTAGAAAAATCCAACTCTCAGGATTTTGTTTAGGTACCTATTATACCTAGGGAAAGAAAGACAAAGCAGAAGAGGCAGTCAGGTATTTTATGTCCAGTCTCAGACTGGCGTTGGCAAGCTCTTTGGCATTAGTGGCCAAGTGCTCATAGCTGCTGTTGCTGCTGGAGGGTTAGGAGGGAAGATAAATCTCGCCCCCCCCCCAGCATTCTAATGGGGGAGACAACAAATGGCTTAAGAAGTGTGACCAATGTTGTCATCAACCACAACTCCAGAGAACCTATGATAAACCATGTGCACCCATTTCTCAAGAGACCTAAGGTGTAGAATTATACATACGTTTTTGTACATGACAAATGTGTGGATGTTTTGTTTTACTTGACTTATATTTATTTGTTACAAAGATGGTATTTTTCTGTTTTTATTGAAAGAGGGGAGCTAGAGACACCACCAAAAAAAAAACCCAAAACAAAATAAGGCCATTGAAACATTTTTTAAATTGCACAGAATAGAACAGAAGGAAGTTCAAAAGGGAACACAGAGTAGCTTT